TACACTCAAGAGACAGAAGTTTTAATCTAAGAAATTTATTAAAAGTGTGTTTTTAATTAAAGTTTTAAACACTCAAAAGTTTAACACCTGCTATTCATAATACAATCTCTTAGCAAAGTATAAAAAGAGAGAGAATTCTTTAATCTGAATAAAGTGAATAATCAAAAATCTATAGCAAACTTCATATTTAATGGTGAGACTTTAGGCTTACATCACACCCTTTAAAATTGTGAATACAGGGATGTCCACTAAAATTGTCCTACTGTTTCTATTCTACGTTGTTCAAGCAATCCTAGGCAGTGTACAAATGACAGAACAAGAAATAATTAAGGATTGGAAAATGGGGATAAATCTGTGAGATCTATCTATGATAAAAATCCAAGAGAATCAAATTACACAAAGTAATTAAGAGTTCAACAAGTTGCTGAAGATTAATAACCAAAAATCAATTGGGTCAAAGACATACTAATGCTCACAGCATCATTATTTATTCATAATAGCTCCAAACTAAAACAACCCACCTGGTGAATGGATAAATACATTGTGATATTTTCATGCCAGGGAAATAGCTAAAAATAAAATTAAAGACACATTCTTAGGACCTAGCAATTCCCTAGATAAACTTTTGTACTTGTACATAAAGAAGTAAGTCTGATGATGGTCACTAAAACCAGTTGTCCTCAAGTAAATTCCGACTCATGGCGACTCTTATGTGTTTCACAGTTCTACTGTGCCCCACAGAGTTTTCAATGGCTGTGATCTTTTGGAAGTTGATCGCCAAAGCACTTCTGGGTGGACTCAAACCTCAAACCTTTTGGTTAGCAGCCAAGCACAGTAAATGTACCACCCACGGACTACTTCCTGGTCACTAGAGAAATACAAATACCAACAACAAGAAACAACCTATTTATCCTTCAAGACGAAAATGATTATTCACGTAACAATACAACTAAAATAAATCAACTAGGGTTGCTGGCTTTGAAGATAAATCTCAAAATATAATGTTAGACAAGGAAAAAGCTGCACAAAACACAGAGTGCATGATTTTTAATAGTTTTAAAACATGTAATACTACATATGTCATTTATGTATGCTTGGACTACTACAGAATTAAA